ATACCCTAGGCTGACTGACTTCCTTAAGGTTTTCCTGTAGTACGGGAAGAGAACCCCCCCCAGGTTCCCAAGTAACCTAATTACCCAAGTAATTTGGGTGTATCCAGCCATTTCTGTCTGCCTGACAACTTTGGTTTCCAGATTTTCAGAGCAGACTCAGTTGCAAACAGCTGCTTTCCACAATCTCAACTGTAGGGTTGAGACAACAGCACCAAAGAAACAGCAAGATAACACAACTGACTTTCAGGAGGGAATGAAACTCACCATGTTTTGGGCTGAGTATGGGAAATGGATCCCCCAACTTCCAGAAGAAATACATGAATGTCAGCCACAGTACACAAGCAAAAAGCAGTTTCTGTCTGTGCACTGATGGAGAGAAGAAAAGTATTTTAAAGAAGTTCTTCCTTCAGAGTTTCCTTCAAGGTTGAAAAATCACCGTGTTTGCCTCAAGGCTGCTGCGAGTACAGGTGAGCAAAACAGATGTCACCTGACAGAGCTCACTTCTTACAGAACTCACTATTTGATGGACGTCACCTTTTATTAAGGGATAACACAGAGCTACCCAACCTTGAAAAATGCAAGGGCTTTTCACCAAGATAGTATGAAGAGTGCTGTACTATGCAGTTGCTCTGTTGCATCTTTCTTGTGCAACCCTGACCATGACAAGGAAATTTCATCTTCTTGTCAAAACTAAACATTTAGTATGCTCAATCTCAACACCTAAGCTTAATACAAAGGAGAGAAGAGCATCAGTAACTCAAAGGTAAGAGAATATTATAGAAGAGGCCTTATCCAGACAGCAGTCAGCAAAAGAGCATGGGCAGTTTTCTGAGCTTCTCTGCCTATTTCTTCTGTCCCTTGGCAGAAGGGCACAGCCTTGCCAAGGGTTCCAAGGTTTGGCTGCGAGCTTAAGAATGCAAGGACCAAATTCCAATAACATTACTCAAAAGCACTCATATTTCTCAAAACCCAGAAAAGCAGCATATATTGATATCAGGTAGAGTGTCTCCTGACTGCTCAATAAACAGTTAAAGCATTAAGCTTTAGGAGTTGTACAGTCAGAACAAATCAGAGGTAAATACGATGGGTGGTAGATAAGGGAATGATGAAACACAAAAAGTTACTTTTCCCTTTTATGCATAAAGTTAACCGCCCCCGTGAATAAAGCAATTACTCACATAATCTGATGTTGCTCACAACAAAGTAGCCAATGTAGAAAGGTACCATGAAGACCAGGATGAGCAAAATGACAAAGAGATTGAGTTTCCAGTGAAAATAACGAGAGCTAAAACGAAGTCAAAATAGTACTCAGCACACAATCAATATACAACAAATTTCTCTTAAAGGTAATTACATCCTAATGACATGCTTCCAAATACATCAAGCACCTGATAACATTAGCCTCATATCAGAATATTTTTATTGTGGATTTTTGTTTTTAAATATGATACAAAGCTCAAGAATGTGTATTTAAAAAGTAATGACTACCCAAAAAAGCCAAAGCAGGCTATTTTATAAAACACTATATGTTCTAGTCATTAATATTGGCTGCAATACATGACTCATTTGATGTACTGTTCATCTAGGTGAACAGTAAATCAAAATCAGTGATCAGCAATAATTTATTTGGAATTTAGTTGCCGAGTAAGAAAAGTTTAATTCAAATTGAAAAGATGAAAAGAATTTAAGCACTCCCAACTTGACATGCTTCATTTCCAAGAGAATTATATCAAGCATAAGGCATTACATAGCAAGAGTTTAAATATGCATATATAAATATGAAAGTATATATGTGAAAACATCCCAATTTTTTGAAATATTAGTCAATATTTCTCTGATCAAAAAAGATTGACCAAATTCAAAACTAATTCATCAGGGTTGAATTTATTTTTCAGGCGGTTTTAATGTTAGGCTGGCTTTTTAATTTAAAAAAAAAAAAGTCCCATCCACAAAACCAGTACACATTCCGTTTACGCCTTGGAAAAACAAACAAGCAAAAGCTTCTGAGGATCATCCCTATCACTTCTTGCTAGATAAGTTGGAGATAGACATTATTGATGTCCATCCCTGTAGTAAAAAGTACAAAGACATTCTCCTCAGTGATCTCTCTGGCTGCAAGCTCCACAGATTAGTAACACACTGTCTGAACTAACATTACCTTTTATCAGTTTTTAACTTCTTCCCTTTCAATTCCTTTGACTGCTCTCTTATTCCAGTATGACTAGAGAAGATAAATAGGAAATCCAACCAACCTCTGCATGTTTCTGTTCTGTCTTCTCTTTCCTACTGATTTCTGAAGCAGGCAGTTTTTAACATCCTCTTTATATAAAAACCCTCACCCCACGTCAAGGGAGAATGTGCCTTTGATTCACAAATACTGTATTATTAGAGAAGTACAGTTTTTACTCCACAATTACCTTCACATCTTATTCTCTGCTTTGACCACTACAGAAAAATTAGTGCTTGTAGTCCTTAACATCTGAAAAGCGCTCTTCAGTGTGATCAAAAGCTTAACAAAACTCCTATAAGCGAAACCACCTTTTCATTTCATAAATGGGGAAAGTCAAAGGCTAAAGCCTCGGCCTAAAGTCCTGGACCACGTTAAGAGCAACTACGTGGGAAAATCAGAAGCTTCTGGCTTCCATTCTCATGTTTTGTTCAATAAACGAAGCCTGCTGCTCCAGTGTCATCACTGAGACATTGACAATTCTCCCCACACAATTTCCATGCCCAGTGATTAACCTCTCTTCTTTTGGAGGCTGGGCTGAAGCTGCTGCAGAACACGTGACAGGTTCATCCTCTGCTGAGCTCGCACACTCACCTGCTATTCAGCACTCCCAAAATCTCAAAGATTATGAGTTCAAACATGGTACAAGAGAAGGCGAAAGTCACGGAGAAGATCACCTGCACAACATACTGCCGCACCTGCAGGGGAGTAAACAAGACAGAGACAGTGGTCACTTCTGTTCAAAGAACAGCAGCCAGGTAAGCCCTATGTAAAGACAACAAACCACAAGGTACAGCAGCAAACAAACAATTGCATCTCTTGCTTAAAGCCACCTTGTCCCTTATCAAAATGGAAATAAACCAAGAGCCCGTCGGAAACCAGAAGGGTTAGCATTCCATTGATTGCAGCTATCATCACTCTTAACACAGGCCCTACCCACAAGATCTCTAAAGCACACGGCACAGTACAGCAACCTGGCTAACAATGAACTGCTGCTAACACAGCTCTGTGATCCCAGCCACAGAATTAAAAACATGGCCAAAAATGGAACATGACAGAAAACTGAATTCGGTCTGAATTTGGTTTTCACTTATCTCTGGCCTAGACTATCTTCCCTCATATCCCTTTTGATGTAAGAAAACATGGCACTTTTACCCCATCCGATTCCCACAAACAATTCAGCCAAAATAAACACACTTCTCCAAGTTTAAATGTAACCATTATTTTGTCTCAGAAATTTTATAGTTATATAAGGCAAGTTTATTCAAGCAGAATTACCCCTCTCCTTCTCCACCTGATTTTTATTTAACGGTAGCCTACACAGCAACTTTCACCATGGCCCCAGAAAACAATTTTCCCAGGTACCTAAGAGTCTTTTAAGTGTAAACACAAGAGGAAATGAAAAAGTAAACTATATGACAAAGAGAAATAAGATAACAGAGCTTAAAGAAAAAAATATGCTCAGAAGCATTTTTAAAATGCTGCAATAATTGGAGTAATCTTTAAGATAAGAAATTGTAATGAAAGGACCCTTCTCACCTCATAATCCTTGAAGAGCTGGCGCATGAAGAATAGCCACCCAAATCCAAAGAAGAGCACCTGCATAAGAGATAAACCAGTTAGCATTTGTACCCAGCAACCTGCAAAATATGAGGCTGCTTTACTACTGTCTGTACATGAAAGAAACAGAAGGAATAGAGGTGGGCCAAAGTACCCAATCCCCACAGAAGGTCAAACTTGCCATTATGCTATGGAGAGAAGAATATATATTAAAATATTCAAGTGCAGTGGACATGGAAGCTTCTGGCCCTGTCAAAGACCCAAACAAGAGATCCTATTTCTATATTCTCAAATCTCTAATATGGAGAAAAAAAAAAGCTTACTGTTTTACAGGAAATACAGAAAAAAAAAAGCAGAAAACATACTTGGATGTTTCCAGTGCACACATCTTCTAGGGATACACAGATATTAAAAAATATCTGATATTTCCCTAAGACTAAAGGTGCATTTGATTTTTCCAGAGATGTCTAAATACTGAGCCTGGTTACATTCTCACATAACTTTTTACACTTTGAAATTGCTTTTCATAGAAAGAGAGACAAATTAAGAAACATGATCAAAATTCCTAGTTACCCATACACAGCTAGGAAATGTCCTTTGATTGTCAAGCCTTCGAAAGAGAGCTACTAGTATTACTTGGAAGACTGAAGAAGAGGTGTAATATTTAAAGGAACGTAAGCAAAGAAGAGAATTTGGATCTTAAGTGTGTGTGTATATATATATGTATATATGTAAGTATGTATGTATGTATGTATTTTAAAGGTTGCTTTGATGTATTGTATTTCAAAAAGTATGGAACAGTATTTCTATCCAGAGCACATGGAAAATGCCCGAGCACTCTGTCCCCAACATGGGAGTCACCGTGGGTGATTCCACCATGCATGCCCAGTAACTGTGGCTCTCAGCAGTGGTAGAGATGACAGAAGACAATTTACAGAGCAGGAACATCCGGAAGCCTAGGGAAGGAAGGCTAGTGATACATTACAGATAGCAGAACTTGGTCAGTGAGAACTTCAGACTTTAGAGGAATCAATAGCAAAAGAAAATGATAAGACATTCCATAAATCTTCTATCTACTGGCCAGAAGTCACAGAAGTATGATAGATAAGTGATATTTACACAGAATAAATTCAGATCCATCAGCTGGAAGGAGGAAAAAGAAGAGTACTTTTTCAAAAGAAATTTTTAAAAAATGTTAAGAAAGACACTAAGAGAGAGCCAAGTACATTAACAACACAGGAAATTATACATGAATATCAGAGCTTCATTCTGTTAGGGGCTGTACAAAAGCATGGAAAGACATTGTATTAAGAGATAACACCCTAAGACACAACAGGTGAATGTGACATGTTCATGAAAAAAAAAGTAGTGTTTGACAATTATATGTAGCAGTTTATAGATCCAAGTTGATACTTCTGAAGATGACTGGAAGATGAAAAGCTGCCATCATGAATGAAAGAAAAGCAATTAGAGAAGTTAGATCCTGCAATGCAAAGCAAACAATGGGAAAGCTTTTGTTTGGAAGAACCATTACCAGTATCAAAGCTACTCTCAAATTGAACAGCTGAGCACAAAATAGCACTTAGAAGCAAAAAAACAAATCATTCACAAGTAGAAGGAAACTGCACTTCTAAGAAACATCCAAAAGATCTCCTGAAAACCTCCAGGGAAACCACACAGGAATGCAGGCTGCACCCTGTACAAGACAAGAAAATACTGTTAGGAGAGGAAAGGCCACATTTTCTCATCCCACTTCTCCTGGTTACACAGCACAGCTTTCCCACCAGCTCTGAAGCTTATCAAATCCCTCTGAGATCCAGTTCAGCCCACCTACTTGGCAGAAAAATGAATAGTGAGGACAGCATGAAGGGAGTGTGACCAGGCCGTAAAGCACACGTGAAGAGTTCCCTTCTTGGCCACAGCAAGGAGCAGGACCCCTTCAGATGCCCGAGGGCCAGATGCAAAAAAAGAGTCTTCAGATGCCACTTAATGGGGTAGCAATGAGGTGGGGAAGGCTAGAGAGAACATTACAAGCAAAGAGTGGTAATGAAGAAGGACAACGTGTTTCCACTCACACAAGAATTGACAGTTTCAAGGGCGGTGAGTCCACAACGTGCTTTGTCTACAACGATACCCACTGGATGACGCAGTACTGCGAGATTTTAATTTCATTATTCAGATGCCACTTAATGGGGTAGCAATGAGGTGGGGAAGGCTAGAGAGAACATTACAAGCAAAGAGTGGTAATGAAGAAGGACAACGTGTTTCCACTCACACAAGAATTGACAGTTTCAAGGGCGGTGAGTCCACAACGTGCTTTGTCTACAACGATACCCACTGGATGACGCAGTACTGCGAGATTTTAATTTCATTAAGCGTGCCTAAATCCAAGGCCAGCCGCAAGATAATGGGGACGAGCGACGGGAAGAGCCAC